CCAAATTTCTATGGATTTAGACAAAGTCAAGGCAGTAACTGAATGGCCAATCCCAAAGACTGTTAGCGAAGTCCAACAATTTATTGGCTTTGCAAACTTCTATAGGAGATTTATTGAAGATTTTTCGAAGATCACACGCCCCTTACACGAACTTACTCAGAATAAAATACCTTTTGAATGGACGGAATCTAGACAGGTCGAGTTTGATGCTTTGAAGACGTGCCTTTACCACTGCACCTGTACTAAAGATAGCTGATCCCTATAAACAGTTTGTACTTGAGTGCGATTGCTCAGACTTTGCGCTGGGGGCAGTTCTATCGCAAGTAGCGGAGGAGGACGGTGAATTACACCCCGTAGCATTTTTATCACGATCTCTGATTAAGGCTGAAAGAAATTATGAAATCTTCGATAAAGAACTATTAGCTGTTATTGTGTCATTTAAAGAATGGAGACACTATTTAGAGGGTAATCCGTACCGACTGAATGTCATAGTTTACACAGACCATAAGAATTTGGAATCACTGATGACCACGAAGGAGTTAACTAGACGACAGGCAAGGTGAGCAGAAACTTTGGCATGTTTCGACTTCGAGATCCGGTTTCGACCTGGGAGGAAATCAACCAAGCCTGATGCATTGTCAAGGAGACCCGACCATCGCCCTAGTGAGGAATGCAAACTTTCCTTTGGCCAATTGTTGAAACCCGAAAACTTACCGGAAGACGCTTTCATACCTGAACTTGACATTATGAGTAACTGGTTTGAGGAAGAAGGAGATGAAGCTATGGAAAACGAAGTGCACGAGATGGAGGTTGAAGAGGATGAAGAGGAACGGGTGTGGGATGACAGCTTAATCTTGAATGAAATTCGACAAGCCTTGCAAAATGACGTCAAACTGAATAAAATAGTCACTATGTGTAAAGCTAACGAAGATGGGAAATGGGAGGATTATGTGTATACCGGTGATTTGTTATACTTCAAGGGTATGGTCAAAGTTCCTAACAATAACGAATTAAGGCGAAGAATCCTGCAATCACGACACGACAGCCCTCTAGCTGGACACCCAGGGCAAATGAAGACTTTAAGCCTATTACGTCGCTGCTATCATTGGGTGTCAATGAAAGCATTTGTTAATGCCTATGTGGATGGATGCCTCTCGTGTCAGAGAGTTAAACCGTGCTCAACCAGGCCCTTTGGATCACTACAGCCTCTTCCAATACCTGCTGGCCCTTGGACGGACGTCTGCTACTATTTAATAACAGACTTGCCATTGTCAGATGGCAAAGACTGCATACTGACCGTGATCGACCGACTCACTAAGATGTGTCATTTCATTCCATGTAACACCACAATGTCGTCAAAAGAATTAGCCAACACCATGATGAGATATGTGTGGAAATACCATGGAACGCCAAAAACAATCACGTCCGACCGAGGTAATGTGTTTATATCAAAATTGATGAAAGAATTGAATAGCCAACTAGGAATTGTGACCCAAGCGTCGACGGTGTATCACCCGCAGACTGATGGGCAATCAGAAATAGCTAACAAGTCTGTCGAGCAATACTTACGTCATTTTGTCAGTTACAAACAGGATAATTGGACAAACCTACTGGATATGGCAGAATTCGTGTACAACAACTCTCCACACACGTCGACGGGAATTTCTCCATTCAAGGCAAATTACGGGTACGATTTGAACTATTCCAGAATCCCATCAAGCGAGCAGTGCATCCCAGCAGTGGAGGAGATGCTGATACAGTTGAAAGAAGTACAAGATGAATTGAAGGAAGCACTGAAGTTAGCTCAAGAGACAATAAAAGCTCAGCACGACAGACACGTGTAGGGAGACACCGGACTGGGAAATCGGATCAAAAGTATGGCTAGACG